ACATCATTAAGTGATACAGGAACGTTTTTTGGTTCATTTTTTTTATTTGTTTGTCCTGGTTATTTGTGTTTGTTTTATGTTTGTGTGTTTTTTTTTCTTGATGATTCCGAAACAATTCTATCGTTTCTATTGGTGGTTGTTGTTGTTGTTGAAAAGAGAGAATTTCGATCACATTATTTATGAACATCTAATACTGAAATTGATTAAAAAATCGTCCACTAAAAAAAACTAAATTAAAATTAATGATGATAATGATTAATTAACAAGAAACAAAATTATCGAAGATCATTATATATGAATTTTTTATATTTTTTCATTTTGTTGAATATAATGAAATCATTTTTATCTGATTTATGTTGATTGCTATTTAAAAAAAAAATAAAAATAAACGAAACAACAAAAAGATTTTTCTTCATATGTGAATGATGAACAAAAAAATTGATTGTATAAATAAATAATAAAATGAAGACGTTTTTTACACCACCACCACCACCATCATCATCAAAATAATCATACCAAACACATGTCAAGCAAACAGCTATTAATATTAATTATATATTTTTTCTTTGCACATCAAGTGCACTTCAAGAATATCGCCGAATACTGAATATGTAATATGAATGAAATTGACAGAAAGGCAGACACAAAACAAAAAACATAGGCAACTTGATACACAATTCCTAAAAAAATATAAAATAAAATGTGCAGGTGTTTTCTCAAAAAAATTTTTTTTTTTCATTCGTGTCATTTTCACAAACAGTGGTTGGTCTATAAATATAAATGTGTATTGTGTTTGGTGTTGTTTGTTTGCATTTTTGAAATTTGGAACATGAAAACAAAATAAAAAAGTGAAATTAAGATTGATGAAAAAAAAAAAAATGGAATGAATAGAAACATCAACCAAATTGAACATCATTGATGAACAAAACGAAACAAAAACAGAAAAAATCCAAATTTTATGTGAATATCACTTTTTGATTCCATCTACTAATGGTTCATACTACTAAACAATCAGAATCCAGGTTTCTTTTTTTTCCTGAAGATTCTGGTTCATATCATTGGTCATTCATTTGTCCATGAAAGTGATAATTAATATTATAAACAAATCTGGATCTTTTCAAAATATTGGAACATTCTTATAAGATAGAATAGAAGCAAAAAAAAACTGAGAGAAAATAAAAAACTTACAAAAAAAAAATTAAAACAGGATTTTATATATCTATTGATAAATCGGAAGTGATTACAAAAAAAAATTTTCTGTCACAATCGATTCCATCGATTTGATACAATCGATTTAATGTTTTTATTCTCATTTCCGGACAGTTATTTTTTTCAAATTTCCTGTTACTATTAATATTATATTATTTTCATTTTGGAAACATAACTGATTCAGCAGAAAAAGATTTTGTTTAGAATAAAAGACGTTGATGATATGAGAGCGAAAAAATAAATCATTGTCAACATTATTTCCGGAAAAAAAACTATGAGAAAAAATAGAAAACGAACAATCGGACAGAAGAATGAAAAAAAATGAATTAAATTTTTTCAAAAAATTCAACTAACAATTTTCGACATTGCTTACATTGGCAAACATTTGATTTTCAAAAAAAAAATCACCAAAAATATTCATGCATCCATGACGATGATCAAATTTCATGAGCATTCAATTTACAATGGATCAATATGTGTTCTGAATAGAAAACCGAATTGAGAAAATTTAAATTAAATTTTTTTGATAGTTTGATATGAAATCTATCAATGAATTGAAAATTTTGTCGATTTGTTGTATTTTTTTTTTTTTTTTTTTGATAAGAATTTTCGACATTCATTTTAATTCATTTATTCAATAGTTAGACATCAGTGGTAATTTGATTTGATTTTTTTGTACTAAACTTTTTTTCATGTGTTAGTTGATAATGATGTGGGTTTTTTTTTACTCTAAATTCTCCAGAAACTTCAAAATTAAACGTAATCAATTGATAATTGGAAACAAAAACAAAATCTAACGATTCATTCATTCAAGTGTAAATCTAATTCACATTTTTTTCTTCTTCCCAAAATCTTCGATAGATTAAATTATCGAATTGTATGTTTTTTTTTCATAGAATTTCAATTTAAGAATTGATTTCTTTTTTTTTTTTTCTTACATTACTATCACTTTTTTTTTTGGTTTTATGTTCGGTTCGATTCTCGGATAGCACCAATAATAGCCATCAATACAATCTAGGCCATTGTATCCACAGAACAGCTTCAGCTGCCGAAATGTTTTTTTTTCGATTGATTCAAAAAAAAAAAAGTTTACTTCTAATTGAAAATTTTTATTCATACATACATTGTTGGCATTTTGTTTCGACATTCGACATCCAATGATCAGGGTTACCAGGCAGGAGGACATTTTTTCCTTTCAAAAACTTTTTCACTTAACAAAAAAATTTTTTTTTTAACCGATGTAAAACTGTATTTTAAAGTAAGTTTTTTAATAAGAAAATTTTTGTCATCCTCGACCCATTGGCCAATCTGACAACTCTAAGATAATTGAATTTATGTTTTGATTTTCTTGAATCTTTTTCGTGTTATTCATTCGTCTAGTTTGAATAAATTAAAATTCATCATCAGCAAAATAACAACAGCCAAAAAAAAAGACATTTGAATGAATTATTGAATTGAATGACAACGGAAAAATGCAGATGTCTCATATGAATGAATGAATGGACTTGAGAGAATTTCGGTTACCAAAGGTTCTGTGTGTGTGTGTGTGTAATTAACATCTACATATGGGATTTCGAAACGACAACAACAAATTGGATCTTTGAAAAAAAAGAAAAACATTTACTAAATTGGAATAACTGTAATATTTAAAAATTGAGTTTGATGTCAAAGTTGTTGTTGTTGTTGTTGTTGACGAAGATAATGAGGATAATGATTATGAGATCCATTAAAAGTTTTTCAGAATTTTTTTTTTTTGAAAACAATTTATGGTATACGAATTATGAAAGAATCTGTATGAATAAACGTGAAAAAAATCATCATAAAAACAAAAGTTATGCTCTGGCCATTTAAAACTTTGTTGTTGTTGTTTTCGTTAGTTGTTTTTGTTGATACAGACCACTTGGACAGACTGGATTTTGAATTTTACATGTTTTTTTTTTGTTTGTTCTTTTTTTTTTTTTTTTGTTTTTACTACAAAATAGTTTTTTTTCTCTTTTGGTTTGCATGTTATTGTCAACATTATTTCCATTTTAATCACCGTCATTCGGGATCTAAATGATCAGAAAAAAACAAAATTTTAATCAAACGAACAACCAAGATGCTAAAAATTAATCCGTCACATACAACAATCACATACATACACACACACACACACACACACTTTCCATTGCATGTGATGTGGTTGGTGGAAATAAAAGGAAAACACACACACACACACACACAGAGAGAGAGATTCTGGACAAGAATTCTGGAACAAATTTTTGAGATAGATAGAAAAAAATAATGTGGGTTATTTTTTTTTCATCATCATCATCGAGATTTCTGAATGAAAAATCAAACGAAGCGAATCTTGAAATGAAGAAAATAAAAAACGACTTTTTTCTTTCATCCTTTTGATGATGAATGAGTTTTTTCTCTTCATTTTTTTAAATGAAAAATTCATTACACAACGGTATATTCTATGTTATTTATTGATGACGCCTACAAATTATTCGAATTTTGAATGTTTGAATAGCACTATAAAAAAAATCTAATCCTCTATGTGTGTGTGTTTGAATCAAGACAAATTCTAGTTGATTTTTTCTAGTTTTCTATTTGGATGTGTTTGTTTTTTTTTCATCCATGCAAACACACTACAAGACTTAGTCCAACTTTGATATGAAAATATAATGATGACTTTATTTTAACTAACCATTCTAAACCAAACTAATCTAAAAATGAGTCCAATCGAAAAATGTATTCAGCCAAATACATTACACATGCTGCTCATATTAAGTGCACCAATCTTTATCATTTTGATGATGAAAAATGGCCATAATAAATTCTGTGAAAATTTGTTTTCTCCCAGAAAAAAAAGAAAATTTTCACCATCATCAACGAAACGGCGCCGCCCCAAACTCTGCCCCGCAGGGCGAGCCTGTACCGAGCTCATATTGTATAATATAAAATTGATCGACTGGCTTTCGGTTAATGAGAAACAGAACAAATAAAACAACAATAACAACAACAGTCAACAGAAAAAATATCCGAACAAAAAACTAATCCATATGATATATGAGGCCAATAGAATAATGATAACATTCCTTCAGTTTTTTTTTGCTGAATTCATTGAATGTAATCAACTAAATTGATGTCAACATTTTCACATTTTGGAGTATGACATTTTTTTGGTGGTAGAAAGAAAAAAAATGTTCTAAAAAAATGAAATTTTTTTTCTCCATTCAATCCTTCAACCACTAATTTGAATAAAAAATTTTTTTTATTGAATAAACACAAACGAACCGAAAAAACAAAATTTATTCGGAAACTTTTTTTTACGAAAAAAAATTCTCATCATCATTCTATGCAGATTAGCCAGCCAGCCTAAAATATCCTTTTTATCTGTCTTGTCTGATCTGGGGTTTTGTTGATTCTTTTTTTTTAGATCTGCTAGAGTTTCCAGAATTGAGTTGAATTTTCGTTTTGAACACTGTTTTCCTATTCTATATTTATTTCCCTTTTGGGATCGTTCATGTATCAACAATGATTACTCATTGAAACCCGTGATCATCATCATCATCGTCATCCATTCTCAATCAATGTGGAAATCCATGAAAATTGTTAAACAAAAAAAAAAAATCTAAATTTAAATTCAATTAATTTTTATGTCAACATACTGTCTATATGTGTATATGCTATGCTTCTGTGTGTGTGTTTGTCAATTTTTTTATCTATTTTTTCTCTTCGTTTTTTTTAATTTTTATGTTTATTTATCCACCATTCATTCATCTATTCATTTATTTTATTTTCAGATCTGTTCATATGTAGTACATAAACGTTGCCATGAATTTGTTGCATTCAAATGTCCAGGTGTTGATAAAGGTCTTATGGCTACGGTCCGCGGTGGACAACAACAACAACAACAACAACAACGGTCAGGAAGTGATCGTGGTGATCGTACTAGACATCAATTTCAAGTACATACATATACATCACCTGCATTTTGTGATCATTGTGGATCATTATTATATGGTTTAATACATCAAGGTTTTAAATGTAAATCATGCGATATGAATGTACATAAAAAATGTCAAGATTTGGTAATATTTGGAATTGATTAATTTTTGAATGGAACTAATTATTAATTATTTATTATTATTATTAGGTACCAAACCTATGTGGCTGTGATCATACTGAACGTCGTGGTCGTATATTATTAAAAATCTATTCAAATGATGAACAGAATAAATTGATTTGTGAAATTAAACAAGCACGTAATCTAATACCAATGGATCCGAATGGTCTATCAGATCCATATGTAAAATGTAAATTAGTGCCTGATAATGGTCATAGTGTAAAACGGAAAACACGTACAATAAAAGCATCATTGAATCCAGAATGGAATGAAACACTTGTTTTTGATCTCAAATCGGATGATAAAGATCGTCGTTTGTTGATTGAAATATGGGATTGGGATCGCACAACACGTAATGATTTTATGGGTGCCCTATCATTTGGTGTGTCTGAATTATTGAAAAATCCTGCTGATGGTTGGTTTAAATTATTAACACAAGAAGAAGGTGAATATTATAATGTACCTGTACCGGCTGCTGGCGAAGATGTTCGTGTATTATTAGATATGCGTCTACGATCTGTTACATCGAATGTAACATCATGGCAAAAAGGTGATAATGATACTGGTACTGGTGATAATATTAGTTATTGTTCAACATTAGACCATGTTACTGTTGCCATGAATAATCTTGGTCATCATCATCATCCATTACAACATACTGATCATCATTCATCTTCGATACTAACAAATCTACCACATAATATGAGTAAACAAGATGTGATACGTTCAACAGATTTCAATTATATTATGGTACTTGGAAAAGGTTCATTCGGTAAAGTAATGTTGGCCGAACGTAAAGGAACCGATGAATTATATGCAGTGAAAATATTGAAAAAAGATATTATTATACAAGATGATGATGTTGAATGTGCAATGGTTGAAAAACGTGTACTAGCATTAGCGGATAAACCACCATTTCTTGTACAACTTCATTCTTGTTTTCAAACAATGGATCGTTTATATTTTGTCATGGAATATGTTAATGGTGGTGATCTAATGTTTCAGATACAACAATGTGGTAAATTTAAGGAACCAATTGCCGTTTTTTATGCTGCTGAAATTGCAATCGGTCTATTTTTTCTACATTCAAGAGGTATTGTTTATCGTGATCTAAAACTTGATAATGTATTATTAGATCAAGATGGACATATAAAAATTGCCGATTTTGGTATGTGTAAAGAAGGTATATTTGGTGATAAACGTACAAAAACATTCTGCGGTACACCGGATTATATAGCACCAGAAATTATACTATATCAACCATATGGTAAATCGGTATGTATTTTGTAGTAATATTCATATTTTTTTTTACATAACCTTCAAACACACACATACATGAATTACCGACCACCTACCATCCAAAATGTACACACACAAACACACATCAAATTTCAAATATGTAAAACAACAATAACAAATGACGACCTTGATATTTCATATAAGCATATTGAATGAATCAAATTTTACTTAGAATGCCAGAGAGAAAGAGAAAGCTCGAAAGTTGAAATCTCAAGAATCTGGAAGAAAAAATTGATGCAAAATAAAAATATTCAAGTAGGCAAAATTTGATAGTTTTTTGCATTTATATTTCACGGCATTAAGTGTGTGTGTGTGTGTGTGTGTGTGTGTGGGTATGAGTATAAGCATCAATTTACATATTTTGTGCATTTTTTTTCATTCTCAGAATTTTATATTATTTTTTGTTTGTTGTCGATATACCAATTTGCTGTTTTCTTATTGTTCCATTTTTTATGTGTAGTGATTGGTGGTTTCACCAATTCTGACATTTTCTGTTTTTGAAATGAGGAAATGATGAAAAAAAATAGAGAGAGTGTGTGTGTGTGGGTGTATGGAAAATATATTTTTCTTGTCTCTGCATGGCTTGCATAACCTTATTTTTTCACTTATTGTTTTTTGAATATATTTTTTACGAATTTAGATTCTTTTTTATTTTTGATTTGTTTACAATTTGATTTTATTTGTAACATTTCCTTATTATTTATTATTATTATTATTCAATAGGTCGATTGGTGGGCATATGGTGTATTATTATATGAAATGTTAGTTGGACAGCCACCATTCGATGGTGAAGATGAAGAAGAATTATTTGCTGCCATTACTGATCATAGTGTATCCTATCCAAAATCATTATCTAAAGAAGCAAAAGATATATGTCGTACATTATTGGTGAAAAATCCAGATAAACGTCTTGGATATTCGCTAGAATCCGGTGAAGAAGATGTTCGGTCACATCCATTTTTTCGTCGTATTGATTGGGATAAAATTGCTAAACGTGAAGTACAGCCACCATTCAAACCGAAAATTAAACATCGCAAAGATGTTAGCAATTTTGATAAACAATTTACATCTGAACGTACGGATCTTACACCTACCGATCGTCTGTTCATGATGAATCTGGATCAAACGGAATTTCTTGGATTTAGTTATCTTAATCCAGAATTTGTTCAGCATGTATGATTGATTGATGATATTTTGAATTTGATTTTTAAATATCGTTATGAAATGAATTTATCAATGTGATAGCCAATGTGGATTTGGTTTTGGGCTTGAAATTTTACAATTAAGAAGTCTTCCAGAAAAGCAAATGGATTTGAATTACGAAATCGATGAAAAAAACCGATAATAATGATAACATTCGAACTATCATTGTGGCTAGAACGAAAAAAAATAATGTGTGCATTGGCGAAATTTTTCAAAGACAAATTGTTTTTTTTCCAAAAAAAAACCAAACCGGAATCACATTCGAAACTTTTTTTGTCCGGTTTTTCACTACATTTTCATGTGTGTGTGTGTGTGTGTGTTTATATTTGTTTGCGGTGTTTGATTTTCTTCCATTCAAATACTCTTTTCTACTATGTGTTTCCTTGTTGTTTCTGGAACCGATTTTTTTCTGTTTTTTTTCTGGTGCTGTTTTTTTCTGTAGAATAGAATAGGAAAAAAAATGTCATTGACAATATACATAACAAATTCGACAAAAGTCAAATCAAGCACGAATCTAAAGAAAAACAAAACAAAAAAACTTTTCTGTTTTTCCTGTTTTCTTTTGTTGTTGTTGTTGTTGTTGTTGTTGTTATTTATGCCAACTTAGTTCATTTGTTTTAAATTCACACGAAATTCACCCATACATTGATACACTTCCACCATTTTAGTGATGATGATGATGATGATATTCACCATTTAAATGTGAAAAGATATGCTCACTCTCTCACTCTCTTTTTTCTAATTTAAAATCATCACCATAAAAACGGAAACCAAAAAAAAGAAATAAAATGACAGAATCATAATGAAAAGATGATGATAAAATAAATAAATAAATAAATGGCCATCCAAAAACAAAACAAAAAGAAAAATGAATAAATAAACAAACGACAAATGAGATGATGATTGTGATTATTATGAATATGGTGGAACGAAAATAAAAAAAAAATTGCCGAAAAAAATATCCATTATCATTGTTATTATTATTATTATTGGAATCCATCAAAAAAAAAAAAAAAAAAAATGAATACGGCCATCATCATCATGAGTGATAAACATTCTTATAATAGAATTCTGAAACGAATTATGAAAAATGATGATGATGATCATTTACCATTCTGTTCATGCAAACAACAACTCCCATTTTTATATTCGTTGTTGAATTTTTTTTTTGTTTCTTTCAACAGTAATAATCCATCTTGATAACAGTATGAACGCGCGAAATGAATATATCATTATTATTGCTACATCAAAAAACCATGATGATGATGATGATGATGTTGATGAAATTCTCAAATAAAACAAAGATTAAATAATTCATTCATTCATCAACATAATAATTTTTCTGTTATAATGGATAATATTATGGTGAATGTGTGTGCGTGTGTGTGTGTGTGTGTATTTAGTAATTGATTGGCCACGAATGGTTATCATATCTCAAACACACTCAGGCATACACAAAAACAACAATATCAACAATTTTGGAATTTGAAAAATTTTCATTATATATGATGTTTATCGAACACAAAAAATGATGAATGTTAATAAAAAAAAAATAATTCCGGTAAATATGATCAAAAAAAGAAAATTTCATAAAACTAAAAGAATCGTATCAAAGAATTTCACTAAAAACACATAAATATCGGAAATCAATTTTATGAACCTTGCGGGCCATTATCGTTATTGATGATAATTTCAAACATCAGCCATCGGCCATCATCGTTATTGTTATTTATGAGATGACCAACAGAAAAAAAAGGAATAATAAAATTGTAATTGCACCACCATTATCGAATCGACAACAAACAAACAAGAATCATTATCATTGGCCATCGCCACATATATCGGACATTATCATTAACTGCAGCGTAAATGATTCGAATGTTTTTTTTCATATATTTTGCATCTCTTGGAATGTTTAAAATCTCAACACAAATATCATTCGAATCACATAATGATGATGATTATGGACAAACATTTTTATTTTATTTTTTTTCTGTCTCATTTGTTTGTTCTGTTTGTTGTTCACTTATTATGATGCTCCTGGTAAAAAAAAAAAAAAATACACATCAAACATCAATTGAGAAAGAATGAAACAAAACAGCCATTATCATCATAATAATCATTGTCGCCATTGGCTATCTTATTGTGTGTCTGTGTGTGTGTTTATGTCAACGATAATATTTTTACATTATGATCTTTACGTATGATTATCATTATCATCAAGTACCAAGAGAAAAATTCTTTTTTACCGAAAAAATAATATTCGAAAATTTCGTTCCATTATTATCATCATCATCATCATTAACAACATCACACTATTATTTCACTGTACAATATACACTCACACCCATACACAGTCTTCACAACTATGAAATTTTGTTTTTTAATTTTTTTTTTGTTTTAAATAACAAATTCATTGTTATAACCTATTTTATTGAAAATATTTATTTAAAAAAAAAATTTAAAATTTTTCTGAAATTTTAATCAAAAAAAAAAAAAAATGTTCCAAATGAAAATCTAGTAAATCATCAAATTGTCTTCCTTGCTCCTTTCGGTGAGAACAACAAAAAAAAAAAAATATATGACAATTGAAAGAAATATAAATACAAAAATTTGTAAATAAAATAAATTAATCAACAATCATTATAATGAATGAATGAATTAAGATGATATGAAATTTGCAAATAAAGACAGAAAAAAAATATCACTTTAATCCGATGACGAAAGGAAAATCATTATCAATGAAGATATAGATGCTTCATGTGTTGGATTGTGATGGCATTTCTGTAACATCATCTTCACCATCACCGCCATCATCAACATTGACATTATTAGAATCATTTTTTGTCATCGAACATTTAGCCAATCTCCGATTTGATCGTCGAACATTATTTTTATTATTATTATTAGTAATATTGTTATTACGTCGTTGGAATGCCATCAACATTGTTTGTTGCTGTCGGCCCATCATTGTTAAACGATTTCGTAATAATTTTTCCGTTTCTTTCTGTTTATCCTGTTGTTTTTGACGATCGAAATCATTGAATATTTCGAATATCTGCATAGATAGTTGACAACCTTTTTGTATTTGATCATTAATGATAGTTAAACTGGGTGAATTAGTTTTTTTCATTTGATGATTATCATCAACATCTGATTGTTGTTGTTGTTGATCATCCAATGTGGAAAAATTTTTTTCAATCAATTTTGAAACATTTAAAAATTGGCGAATTAAATCACTATTTTCAGCCAAATTTTGTCGTATAAAACGTAATCGTTCACGAATGATTGTAAATTTTGGTGATTGTTGTTGCAAAATTTTCCGAACACAATGTCCACGCCACCAACTCTATACCATATCATTGCAATGAAGAATTGTAAATCATTAACAAAAGTTTTTGAGAAAAATAATTGGGCCATACCTGTATCGTTGTGACACATTGTTCACGTTTCAATTGAATCCTAGTTGGTGCTTTCTTTTCTTTCGGTAATTTCACTGCGGTTGTTGCCGACTTAGTTGGTACATATAATTGATCATGTTTGAATTTATTTCGTCGAGTATTGAACCAATTCTAATCATTTCGATGATGTTGTGTGCATTGATGAATATTAATTGTCAAATTATTTGAGAAAAAAGGTTAAAAAATAATTTAAAATTTTTGATTACTACTCACTCGTATCCTTTGCTCGGTTGTATCTAATTTCTTAGCTAAATCTCGCCGTCGTTCATAATCTAACCATGGATTTTCCTGAAATGTTCGTTCCAGAAATTCAACTTGTTCATCATTAAACGCCATCTGTTTGCTGCGATTACGATATTGTCGTCCTTTCTTTCGAAAATTTTCAATCATCTCTTTATTATCACTATGCTGTTGACACCATTTTTTTCGACGTCCATGGAACCATTCCTGTTTGTTTAAAATGATAAAGGTCTTTTAAAGAAAAAATTTGTTTCAACCAAATTTCTTACATTAATTTTCGGTGGAGCTAGATTCAATTTTTCCACCAATTCGGTTATTTTATCCGATGTTAGATATGGATTTTCATTGAAATATTCTTCCAAAATTGTCAATTGCATTTGTGTAAATTTTGTTCGTTCACCACGTATACGATCTAATGATGGGCGTGGTTGTCCAAGTTCTTGTTCACGATTGGCAGCCAAATGTGCTAAAATAGAAACAATAAATTATCATCAAATGGAAAATGATCAAACAATTCGGGACTACATACAATACCATTCATTCAATGCAATCAGTTCATCATGTCGTTGTTGTCGCGGTAGTTCTAACCATTTTTTCAATCGTAAATATGATTGCATTTTTTCCGAATATTGTTTCGGATGTTTTAACATCATAGACCATGGTCGTGGTTTTCGTAATAGATTAAACATTTTTGTCGAACCACAATGTAATATATGACGACCAAATAATTGTCGTTGAATATTCATTGTTTCCAATTCTTTATTCACTTGTTCAGCGATTGCAATAGTATCAATATCCATTGTTTCATTCATTTCTTGTTCGGTTACTATTAAAATTGTTGATGTTGGTGGTCCCATCGGATGTTGTTCATTTTTTGTCAAATCAACATTCGAATCAATATTATTATCATAGGAATTTTGATTTTGGCCACCAGCCGTTTGTACTTCGACAACATATGGTGGTGTTTGAAGCTTAAATCAGATTATATGAATTAATTTATTATTATTTTTAAAGTTAAAAATTAAACATTTTTGTTAATCTTACAGGTGAAAATTTTGGATCAACATTATTGTCGAAAATTTCGACAGCTGTCGATTGATGATAATGATGATCAGCTCCGGATGGATAATAACGATTTGAACGTAGATTCATAATCAATAAATAATTCGATTCAAATTTAAATCATAACATTAGATATTTATCATTTTTTTTCGATAAAAAAAACATTGAATTCAAATCCAATATCGAGTTTTTGTTTTGATGCATGTGTACATGAATAACGTTTATTATAGTAGCATACAAATTAGTTTCGTTTCTTCTTCTGGAACTGCCACTACCACAGCAGTACTTTGAATCCCGTTCATTTAGTACATATAATCAAGTTTCAAAATTTAAAAATTTAATTTAACAACAAAAAAAAAATTTAAAACCCAACAAAATAAACAATTTTTTTTATTAATCTGATAATCATAAAACGTTTATTATAACACATGAATATAAAATTTAGAATATGAAAATCTGATTGTTTGATACTTGAAACACAGTGCTAGACAACAATAGCAAAAAAAGGAAAAAAAAATTGTATCAACAATAACATTCCAGCATTCTAGCACCTGCAAGTAAAAAAATCCAAAACGAAATCCGAATCGCGTAGCCCAATAGACCGAAATTTTCTTTAGGAAAAAGAGAAAAAATATAAAGATTAAATAAAAAAAATCGAATAAGAAACTTTACCGGAATTTAAGAATAAAATTTCCAAGCCATAGACCAATGATGATATATATTATGATGATGATTCGAACCAATTAATAAATCATGAAACGAATCTTGATCAAAAAAAAAAAATTGTCTTGCCAATATGATTGAATGAATGATGAATATTTTTTAAAATGTATCCCAAATGAATCAAGTATTGAATATATGAAAATTAAATATTATTTGTCCATCCAAAATAAACGAAACGAGACGAAAATATTAATCTTGATAATGAACAAATTCGATGAATGAATATACGATACACACATTTGAATGGTTTTTTGATGTTTTAAATATTATTATCGAAATAGTAACGAAAAAAAACGACAGGAGTACCAAAATTATCTTCACTCTGAATGCTGACGAAGACGACGTCTTTTTATTACACCCATTAGCCAACCACTGAATCCTAATGTGAACAAATTCATCATGGCCATCCATGTTAGATTACGTTTGATAAACATTTTAATATTAGCTATCCATTGACGAAATAATGATCGTATCCGTGTGATAAACCAATTCCATGATCGTCGTGGAAATGTTATCGTTTTTATCGTATAGAACACTATTCTTGACCAAATATATTGACATGTACGAACGAAAATATTTGTCGTTGTTTCCGTTGTTTCAACAATACGTTCGATTGCTGTTGCAGTTATATGTGCCGATTTAACCATACTAATACCGACATGATTAACATCTTCTAATTGTCGAGTAACATTGATGACTGCTTGTCCGGCAATAATTTTTGCACCAATTGTTAATGCCAATATATTGATCATAATGAACAATATGCATAATTGTCTTACGAATGCAAATGTTTGTATACGTAATAGACAATCACAAATGAATGCTATAACAGCCAATGCTAAACATATGGTGAATATATCGATCAATGCCGTTACGATGGCCGTCAGACCACGTTCACGAACTTGACGATATTTTTCACGATTTTTCAGCAGATCATTTTCATCATCATCATCATAATCATCATCACCAACATTATCATTAAATTCATCATTAATATTTTCATTATTCAATGTTCGATGTCTTAATAATTGTCTTCGATTTGGAAAAAATGATCCACGCCATATTAACCATAATAGATTCAATGCATGGCCAGCATTGTATAATGGACCCAATAATGGTACATAATCAATAAATACGATTAAACGTATGTAATATTTTTCCCAATTAGCCAATAATTGTGGCCCATTTCGTGTTAGGAATTGTTGTGACCAGGATAATTCCGACATTTTTTTTTTTTATTATTATTATTCAACACACAAACAAACAATAACAAAGAATAAATCAAAACAAAAGAGAAAAGAGTATACACGGAAAAAGAAATTAATTTTCAATAAAATCGTATATATTTTTTTTTTGCGAATAAAATAAATTAAACATCGCACACGAACACACACACAAATGTATCAACATTTGTCAACCAAATAATGAATAATGAATAATAATAATGATGATGATGATGATGATGATCGGACGCCATCAATGAATTATCAATAGAGATATTTTTTTTCTCACTATTCAGCTAGTTGGCTAAATAATCAACAAACAAACAACCAGCCATAATACGTACCATCATCATATATTGATTTTATTTATTTGGCCAAACACACCAATGTACCAATGTAATAAACATGACTAAATTCATTTTCAGTTTTTCTTTCTTTCTATGTTGGTTGGACCAATGATCGTTACGTTATGATAATCGCTAAAGTCAACGACGATTGATGAATGATTGTTGATGCTGATGATTATACTTTGAACATTATCAATTGTCATTGAAAATGATAAAATGAACATCTTTTTTTTGACACAAAAAAAAGATTTGTTTTTTCCTCTATTCGTCGTTGATTGTAGTCGTTTTATCAAGAATCTGAACTTTAGACATTGATCATCATCATCATCATAAACAAAATTTGGTTGTTGTTGTCAAATTATGTTGTTGTTTTTTTGTAATAATAATTAATTTGCCTATATTTTAGAATATATTGAACAATGAATCAATCAATCAATCAATCAAAAAAAATGGAAACAGAAGTACCTCTCAAACATTGGTAAATAATTATCACATCAATCTTCTTGTTAACAAATTTCATCATTTGATAATGAATAATCTTGCAAGAATGGCATCAATAAGAGTACATGCATGTTTTATTGTGATGATGATTAGGTTCAAATTTTGATTCGATAACCGATGGATGGAGCCATGAAACATTTTGTTTGTGTGTGTGTATTGTGATGATATTCGATTTTCAAATCAAATAGTAGATTTTGTGAAAAACAATGAATCCTAAAAATTGAAGAAACAAGAAGAACTGATCGAAATAATTAATAACAAAGAATTTAAGGTACAGTAAAAATAAATTTTTCCGGTGATGAATGATCATTGATTTTTATTCTCAAAATAGTTACTTTAACAGCAACAATTATCATTGCTGTCATCGAATTTAATCAAATATAAATAAAAGTTTGATAAATATGCCAAAAATAAAAGTGCTTTTTTAATATAAAAAAAACCGCTATTGATTGAAGAAAGGAGAAAAATATGATCAAGGTCACATTTGCAACAAACATCAACATTATCGTCTTTCAACTTTTAGAAAGATATCACGTGGAGAAAGAAGACCGCCTTGATTATAAAATTCAACTGGAATCTAATCAAAAGAAAGCAATAGAAAAAAAAGAATATGATAAGTGGAAAAAAAACATCAATCAAGTACCAAACAGCATCACTTACTTTGGTTTTATCACATTTATTGAATTTAAAATTTTTAATCAACCAAATCAATGCTAATTTTGCTTCCATCAATGCTAAACTTTTGGCAACACAAGCTCGTGGTCCAGATCCGAATGGTAGATAGGCATAATTTGGATATTTATGATCATTATCCGGACCGAATCGTTCGGGACAAAATTTTTCCGATTCAGGAAAATATTCTTCATTATAATGTAGACACCATATAGGAATCTGTATGATATCATCTTTACGAATCGAAACCGAAAATTGACCATCTTCAGTGGAAAGCAAACAATCATTCATACAACGACGTTCAGTGAATGGCGCCGGTGGTGTCATACGTAACGTTTCATTAACAACACCATTAATATAATCGAATTTTTTACCTATAGTTTCAAATGATAATGATTGTAATTTGTCATCATTTTGTTGACCATTTTCAAATTCCGAAACAATTCGTTCAACTTCTTCATAAGCTAGCTGTTGTTTATCCGGATTCAGGGCAAGATAATATAACGCCATTGTGATTGTCGTTGCCGTCGTATCATAACCGGCCAAAAAGAATAATACACATTGTGCAATGATTTCATCATTGTTCATATATTTGATTGCTTTTTTATCATTATCGCCATTTTCCAATGAAATATTATTATTCGTATTATTATCAATTTTCTGTTGTTGATTTTCCAATTCATGTTCAGCTTCAAGTAAAAATTCAAGGAATGTTGATGCTTTTGAAAAATCTTTCTTTGCAAATTCTTTTCGTTTACGTTCAATTAAATCGATTGCAAATTTTCCGAAAAAATCCGTTACATCGCCATTTATCCGTATATTGAATATCTTTGAAAAAAATGGTGGGAGAAAAAAAGCGAATACAAATGCAATAATGTTTTTCAATGATAAATCCGTATTGAATAGTCGTCTGGCCATAACGATAATCTGATTATTCGGTTCGATTAATGAATCAATTTTACAACCAAATGCTACCTGTAGAACAGTGTCCATTGTGAATGCACCGGCGAATCGTTTAATATTCAATATGCTGTCATTCGAATTAGCCAATTCATTATTAATATTCTGGATTAATGTCTGACAAATTGAATCCATACATGGTTTCATTCGGCGAAGTTTTCCAGTAGCAAATGTAGGCGCTACAATTGCTCGAATACGTTTCCATTTATCCAATTCGACTGTAGACAGAAAGTTAGAAAAGAATGGATCATCGGTATTTAGTTTCTTCGAAAAAAAAATCAATTTAGCATTTAGAATATAAATTCTCAAATTATAATTCTTACTCGTCTATTAGGAAAATTGGTGAATTCTTTGCTCAATATTAATTGAATCAATTCGGGTTCAGCAATGGTCAAATTTATTCCTCCAAACATCTCCCATCCATAAACTTTACCAATCTTTTTTATGTTTTCTTGAGATATCAATTCAATACGTATATTATTCAATAAAGCATTGAAAAATGATGGCTGCTTTCCCACAGGAATATTACGATTTTGTAGATTCGAAATTGCCATTCTCGATTTATGGCGAAAATAAAGAAAAATTGACGAAAACGTCAAAATGATAACAGTCAACAAGAATATTCCAAACATTATTAAATCACTAAGAGTACGAAAACATACACAAATACAATAAATAAATTAAATTATGTTGATGTGCAACCAATTTATACGACAATAATTTATTTATCATAATCATCATTAATTTTATCATTCAATTTTAACTTTTGGATTGATATCTTCAGTGTGTATTTATTATTACTATATAGTATATACCATGTATGGGTTGCAACTAAATGAAGAGTATGCTTGTAAAAGAATTGTAAGAAATTTTTTTTTTCTTCTCATTATGTCTAAATAAATTTTTAATCATTGATTATAATTTTTATTAAAAATCACATGTATACACTTCTTTTTCAAGAACATATTACATGATTTTTAATTAAAATCAATTATTCTCATTGTAGATATTTGATACAAACATTTCGATTTGTTTGGCCACCGATTCCAAAGCTGCACCATCGCAACCGATAATTGTTACTTTAGCTACATATTGTGCAAATTGTACAGCAATCGCAGCACCGATCAATTGAACTAAACAGGAACCTATAACCAGAGCAACTTTATCGTATTTTTTGCCATTTGATCAACAAGACATGTTTTAATGGATATGATGATATGATGATTTGTCAAATCGTCTTCTTTAAACTCGATTTATTATTGTTTATTTGTATGGAATTTATCATAGTAGCAATTATTATCAATGATTGTACATCTTATCAATATATGAACTTGAAGACATTTTCAAGACATTTTTCCACAGTGCAAAAGAGCCTTGTAACTGTTGAAATACACTAAATCCGGACGTTTTTCTTATTCAAGAAGTTTTTTTCTTAGTATATATATGTGATGTTGGAAACATATGTTCGTCCTTTATGAAGGGGACCAGCCAAGATTTTGGACTGGAGGAGATCACGTGAGAAAGCTGCCAAAGTTTTATGACCAGGGAGTGCCCGAATTCGACATTTTGTGACCAGTTGGGCACCTAAAAGATTTTTGTTTATGTCGTGGGAGTGGGAATGTGGCCATAAAATAAAGGATTGGCTTGCAAATCGATCAAGAATCGATCAAGATTTGTCAACCGATTGTACCAATTCGATACGAGATCAAAGAACCGAAGACCGACGAATGGCTGAAATTGATTATTGTCCTTTTATGGAACTGACCATAAATCGTTTGGTCAGGCTTGTTAAGACGAACCAAGGACCAAAGAAATGAGCCATGGCAGAGAAACCTTGAGATTGGAATGCCAGATAAGAACGATTCATTAGGAAAGGACCACATCTGGCCAGTCATAAAACAGGGTTAACGTCGAAAATGGACAATTGGACAATCGAGCAACGATACCCCGCGTAGAAAGCAGGAGAGGACATACTCCCTCCTAAGGACCATTAAGGATGGAAGGACAACCAACATAGCCGAAATTATAAAAACGAATGGAAAACGGAGAATCAGGGGCAGTCGGTCAAAAAGGCAGAAGGAGATTAGAGTCGAACGATTGGTGAAGTAACGACGTAAGACAGTAAGAAGTGATTCAGAAGAAGAAAGAATTGGTGTTCCAACAACCGCGTGGGAATTAGATAGAAGACAAAGATTCCCATTGCAAGCAGCATCCGTAAGACAGAAAGCGGATGAAGAAGTTCGATGCCGACACAGTCATAGAGTTGACCTGTTGTCAAAGAAGAAGTGTGTGGAGTAAGAAGAACCTCCACTACCGAATCCCGATAAAGAGGTAGAAACCCGATCGGTAGACAGTTGGAATAAAACCACCAATTAAGATCATCATCATCATTATTGCAGTAACAACGTCTTATAATTTTATTATAAGTGCTAAACGTCGTGTATTAATATAATTTGTGTGTGCTTACTAAATTGTGTAAATAAAATCCTTTTCTTTTCGTTGTTGAGTTGATTATTTTCGGAAGGCCAGATATCATTTGGGCTTCCGGTCTACTATTTCCATCCAGTGGATCGGTCTAGGCGGCGGCTCAAAGTCAACCATAGTTTCGCACATGACATATAAATAGACAATGAATCAAATTTAAAGCAGACAATTTGACAATCAAATCAAAACTATACATTGAAAACAAACATGTCTTCATCAAGTGGTAAAAAATACGATTTCAGCGGTAAAGTTGCTCTGGTTACAGGTTCCAGTTCTGGGATCGGTGCTGCAATTGCTGTACAATTTGCACAATATGGTGCTAAACTAACAATTACCGGTCGTGATGGTGCAGCTTTGGAATCGGTGGCCAAAAAAATCGAAATTGAAAGTGGACATCAACCATTGCAAATTGTCGGTGATCTTCTTGATCAATCTTTGCCAGCCAAATTGATTAATGAAACTGTTTCCAAGTTTGGACGTTTGGATTTTCTTGTAAACAATGCCGGTGGTAGTACAGCTCATCGCGAACTCAACGATGAAAAATTGATGGAAGCTTTTGATAAAGTTTTCGCTCTAAATGTTCGTGCTGTCCTTCAATTAAGTCAATTAGCTGCAATACATTTGGAGAAATCCAAGGGTAATATCATCAACATTTCAAGTATTGTTTCTATGAAGCCGGTAAGATTATTTTTTTTATTACTGTGAATATCTTAATAATTTCATGAATATGTTCTAGTATGGACATGTATATAGTTCATCGAAAGCAGCACTGGATATGATTACCAAAACATTAGCTAAAGAGCTAGGACTAAAAGGTGTCCGAGTCAATTCGATTAAGTAAGCGAGTTTATTGACTATTCACTTCGTCATTTATACTAACTTCGTTTTTGTTTCAAAAAATATTTTAGCCCCGGACCTGTTGCAACTGGTTTCCTCCGTTCGGTCGGAATGTCAGCTACAGCCTATACGGATTTAGCAGATACTATGATTAATCATACCTTGTTGAAATTCTTAGCACAACCTGATGAAATTGCAAATCTAGCTTCATTCTTAGCATCTGATGATGCTCGTAACATGACTGGTTCAATTGTTGTTAGCGACACCGGATCATTGTTGGTATGAAAAACCCAACAAAAATAACTACAATGAGAATAATAATTGATTTAAATCATGAATGATGAAATGTATTCTTGAACATATAATTGTATACGTGAACGTCATAAATGTTTAATTTTTTTAGCTTTTTCTTGTTAATCAATAAAAATTTTTTCTTGATCAACAATTTATGGATCGAATTCTATTCGATAATTCAAAAGGCCCTTCTCATGACCGAAATCCTTTTAGCGACCATTGATTTCAGTCAAAATATAAAAGATAGCTAAATAAATTATGGTAAAAAAATATGCCTGTGGAATGCAATAACCGCTGGCTTCGAAAACTATGATGAAACTTTTTGCAATGTGCGCACGAGTACAAAATCAAGCAATATTCTCTGTTAATATAACAACTTTTGATGATTGATCATTAGATTTCATATACTTTTTTATGACATATGGACACGCGACACATTAATTGAACAAAACCAAATTAAAAAGTTCCTCGAAATGTTTTGGAATAGCATTGATAAATTTTTTTGGACCTGTTTGGTATGTAAAAAATTACAATTATTATAATCTGTTTACAATACTTCGTAAATTTTTTCTTTTCATTTAGAAATTTTTTTCTCCCGCTGAGAAAAATAACAAGACAGCAACAACCAATAGAGATGAGTGGGACACCCCAGATTACCCAAATCCCATCTCTTACATTCCTCATAATAATTATACTGTATCAAACCAAAACCATTATGATGATGAATTTAAGCCAGATTTATCATCTGAATTTAAACCAGATGATAATGTTAAAAAATCACACTATAGACATTTACTTGACATTAAATGTCAATCAATGCCTATGCCGAGTTATCTATTGATCGATCTTGAATTGGAAAATAACTATGGATATGAATCCCGACCTTCTAAGCAAAAACTCCTCTCATTTTTCCATGAATTTAATGAATTTAATGATAAAATGTTCAAAAATGGCATTAATATTCTGTTATTACCAATATTGTCGATTGATTGGACCGTTTTTATTACTAAGTCAAACCAAGACCAAAGTGGTGAAGAATTTTACTTTCATTGTATTGAACAAAGTTGTCGTGAACTAATTCCTTTGTTAAAATCTGATATTAAATTACAATACGATTGCATCAGTCATTATAAATATTCAAACATGGCAATGATCATCATCAATACGATGGCTCAAATCGAAAAGGAAATGACTACAAAATTACCTAATGACTATCTCAACATGAGTTTGCTTACATCAACCATCAATCATAATTCACATCTAGTCCATGTAATATTCGATTGTCGATTGTCACGTGAAGCAATCTTTGAGAAGAGACGGAAATTCATTAATCATATTGTTAGTATTCGTCTCAATGGAGATGCCAATTCGGATTCCTACTTGTTAAATATAGGATACATCGCCAATTCTGTATGGGACATACCTAGACGCCATAGTACAGGTAGATTGTTTTTCTCGGTAATCATGACTTCGTCCTTTCATCAAAAGTTATCACGTTTTTCAAACAAAGAATGGATAATCAAGCCGTTATTTTATTTGCGACCTGCTGTTCGATTAATCGAAACGCTTGCCTATTTAGAGCAGTATCGATCCCAATCGTTTCAATCGCTCATTCGTCTAGATCCGAATCTTTGTCATAATCAAAATAAAATAATGACATTGGCGTGTAAACCATTACATAACCAGAAACAATATAATGAGAAGCAACAGGCTGCCATTGTAGCAGCATGTGACCTTATCAATTTATCAACATCAACACTCCGAATTCTTATGGTACAAGGTCCCCCTGGCACCGGTAAGACTCACATATTGCTTGGCATCATCAGGAATATCATGGCTGACTCAATAACCAAGTTTCAAATGGTTCCATTTCGCATCATGATTTGTGCGCCAAGCAATGGTGCTATCGATGAAATTGGACTGCGAATAGCTTCTGAGAAAACACAATTACTTCATGGCCGATTGATTAAAATGGTACGAATAGGAATGAAATCACGAATGCACACAGATTTGGTCCAATATGAACTGGAAACAATGATCGATGCTGTTCTTGGCGAAGAAGAAAAGAAACTCGGTTATAAACGTGCCAGTGTACGCCAAGAAATCATATCCAATGCTGACATCATTCTGACAACATTGTCAAGTTGCCAAAATTCAGCACTTGACATATTTCGATCCACTAAACAAGAAACAATACGCATAAGCAATAACGTTATAAACTGTCTCATCATTGATGAAGCCTCACAATGTATAGAGCCAGAAATCCTTATGCCTTTAGTTTATGAATCCATAACAAAAGTGATTATGATCGGTGATCCATTGCAATTACCTGCAACAGTCATATCTAGTACGGCTAAAAATGCCAATTATGGTCGCTCTTTGTTCGAACGTTTCGACACGTATTTCAGTGATATCAAAAGTGATAAACAATCGCCAATCATACGTCTTACGCAACAGTTTCGTATGCACAAGGATATTTGTTCCTTTCCATCGAAACAATTTTATAATTCCACATTAGAAACCGCTAACGGTAGCGGTTTTCATACCTCTGTCACAATTAATCCATACTTTATTTTCGACATTCTTGACTCACAAGAATCCAGCTCTCAAAGTTCTAAATCAAATCCAACTGAAGTGATGTTTATATGCAAACTATTTCGTCAAATACTCGACAAAATTTGCTATAAACCATGGCAGCCTCTTCCGGCTTCTATCGGTATTATAACATTCTATCAGGAGCAGAAACAAGCTCTTATCGCGGAATTATCAGAGCAATTCAGCTCTGAATTGGTAAACATTATCAAGATAGACACAGTGGACGCATTTCAGGGACAAGAATGTGATATTGTCATCTTATCCTGTGTTCGAGCCCCTGACGACAAAGGCCGTTTCGGATCGATTGGTTTCGTACGTAGCCAACAACGAATGAATGTAGCATTAACTAGGGCTCGTTGTTTGCTGTGTGTCTGTTTGCATAGCAGAACATTTTCACGAGCACCAATTTGGAAACAAATGCTATTGGATGCCGAACAACGTAATCGATTGTTTTCGGTTTCATCTAAAATTCAAGATTCCGCACTCAAGGTATATTTGTTAAATTATTCTATCATTTTTTTTAAATTTAATTAAATTGTTTTTCATTTTTTTTTTAAATATCTAGTCAATGCTTGTCTAACGAAAAATCCAACATTTGAATTGGCCAGTCGTCGAATTGTCGGAAACATTTTCCCTCATACATTTATTAATTTTGTTATTAAAAAAATAAATAAAATGATGATTTTTAATTTTAATTTCTTTCACTGAATAATTTAAAATTTTCGTCGTCAGATATCGCCACATACAAATTGATAACTAAATTTTAGGCTACATATGTTGTTTTGATTTTCATCTGATCAACATTGATATTTACGACAATCACATCATACTTTTTTTTATCATTTATTTTGTTCATTACATTCATACAGGAATTTATCTTTTCCCTCTTTATATCTTCTTGAATTTTGTTCAACCTATATGTAACCGTTGTGATGATAAATAAATTTCATTATTATTATACAAAAAGAAATTATGACTCACTGAGGATATAAATTTTGTATGGCTAAATAATAACTCAATTGTTTCTATTGAATCTGAGTACCTAAAATCTTTCGATAATTTCTCATCATTTTTCCTTATAAATTGTGAATGCAGATTTGATTGATATAGCATTCATTATGGCACAGCCGAATAAACAATCGAATGAATCATTGAACAAGAATCAATCCGATTCCATATTGTTGAATCAAACGAATTTAGCTTGGTCACAACCAGCTGGATTTATGTTGGCATCACCTGCACCAGCTTCTCAACCATCACAATCGACGATGGCTACATTGGCCAATGATCAATTATTAACCACCACAGAGTCTACCGTCGATGTACAGACGACGATGCAGGAAACACAAGAAAGTCCACCTGCTACGAATACCAGCACTGTCGAATCGTCAATTGAATCATATTTCAAATCTGAAACTTCGCAACCTGAACCATCAGAATTATCAAATCCAACACCACAATCAGCAACAACACCGGAACCCGAAACTTATAAAGAAGTTGATCATCATTGGTTTTATCAAAAAAATCCGGAAAATAATCCCGATGATTGGCAGGCATTTTCAATGTTGGACAGCTATCAATTAGAAAATGCATTTCAACAATGTCGTATGGATGAGCTGATTCCTACGAATGGTACACGATATGATGTTCGCATACGAGATCGATTACGTTGTCCGGTTTATTGGCAAGGTTCGTCAAGTATGGTTTCTCGTTGTTCATGGTTTTATAAACGTGAAACCGACTATCGTTATGTACCATATCCGGAATATATTGCCGAAATGTTGGAAGCTACATATCGGTTAGTATGAATTTCATAATAATTATCATTATTGAAATTATTCTCAAAAATCTATAGAGATTGTTTCTTAACACATCAATGGAATCGTCGATTAGATCTAACCGATACGGAATTTGTTGTTTTCTATGCTCATAATTCCGTATATCATTATTTTAATGATCCAGTTCAATCATCACCATCGACTGGTTGGCAAACATTGATGACATCTGATCCAGGATCACAGCCTCGTTATTGTTACCGTGGACCATGGATGATTCAAACACAACCGGAACGTGATGAATCGGCCACGTCCGTGACACATTTAATCTTTTTCGTTCATGGTATCGGTGAATTTTGTGATTTCAGTTTTCGACCATTGAAAGATGTTGTCGATGATTTTCGTATGATCACTCATGATCTATTGCTTACACATTATGGTCATGAACAAGGTCGTGTTGAAGTATTGCCAGTTACTTGGCATCAAGCATTGCATACAAAATCTTTGGATGAACGTCTTCGTGAGATTACCTTACCATCGATTCAAAAGTTACGTTCATTCACAAACGATACGATTCTTGATGCATTGTTCTATACATCACCTGTACATTCGAAATTACTATTGAATTATGTTGCCAATGAACTTAATCGATTGTTTGCGATCTTCCTCCAACGAAATCCATATTTTGGTGGTAGAATTGCCTTGGCTGGACATTCGCTCGGTTCGTTGATCTTATTCGATTTATTATCATATCAAACACCACCAACTTCAGCCAGTAACGAGCCACAACAATCACAAGATGATCATCATAATACTGAACATTCAAATCAAATTGAACAACTTCATTTCAGACCTGAATGCCTTTTTGCATTGGGTTCACCATTAGCCGCATTCATTACGATTCGTGGTTTGGATTTGGCACCGGATTTTCGTTTACCCACATGTCCGGCATTTTTCAATATATTTCATCCCTATGATCCAATTGCTTATCGTTTGGAACCGTTGATTAATCGAGAATTTGCCAAAATTAAACCAGTACTCGTTCCACATCATAAAGGCCGTAAACGATTCCATCTGGAACTAAAAGATTCATTACAAAGAGTCGGTACTGATTTGAAACAGAAATTTATGTCCGGAATACGAGGCGCATTAGATTCATTGTATGGTTTCGCTAAAGCTCACGTTGAAGAACCAACAGCGGAAATTCAACAACAACAGCAGCATGTACAATTACAAACTCACACATCAATGGATAATATAGAAATAAAACGAGAACAACCGGAAATTGTTAATCAACAGCCACAACAGCTACAAGAGCCATCATTACCATCATCAACATCGATAACAAATTCATTATCCGAATTAGCCATAAAACCCGATATGACGGAAACTGAATTGAATCGAATTTTATCATTGGATTTTGGTCAATTAAATCGTGGACGTCGTTTAGATTATGTATTACAGGAAAGGCCATTTGAAATTGTCAATGAATATGTATTTGCCATTACATCACATGGTTATTATTGGTTTTCCGAAGATACGGCATTATTAATGTTACGTGAATTATTTGGTCAACCACCACAATCAAATACTGTGTAATTGAGTGTAAAAATTAATTATTATTATTATTATTATTATTGTATTTTTATTTAAAAATATTTTGAAATAATATTATAATGATGAATGTGTGCAATTATGACAATGATGTTATGTGAACAATGCCTTTGAAAAAAAAGAATAAATTTTTTCAAATAAAAAAAACGAAAATTAATAACAAATTAAATAAATAGAATATAAATAAATTACAATTTTGTTTCTTTTGATCAACAACTACAACCAGATTTTTTCTTCTCCTTATTTCTAGCTCGTTGTTCAAGATAATTTGGATCACGTGTTAATCGTATCGAACTTTGATGTATAAGAGATTTTTGTTGCTGTGATTTAGATTTTGTTGAATATTTTGATCTAGAATTTTTAGCTGCATTCTGTTGTTGTTGTTGTTGTTTTTGTTGTTGCCGATAATAATGTAGCTGCTTTTGTTCTAAAATATTACCAAATAATTGTTGAAATGCTTCACGTACGTTTGTAGAATTTTTTGCCGATGTTTCTACATAGCTAGCAAGATGATATTTTTGAGCAAATTTTATCGCTTCATTACGATCAATTTCACGTGCTTGGAATAGATCAATTTTATTGCCTACCAATATGATTGGTATATCACCGTTATCACCACCACAATCGCTATCGCCACCACCACCATCATCATCATCATAATGATCTGTCTGGTGTTTATGTACATTACTGCGAATTTCTTGTAACCATCGCGGTAATGCCTGAAAATGATCACGTCTAGTTAGATCGAATACAAGTAAAGCACCATTTACATCACGATAAAATATTTTCGTTATTGATGATCGATATCTATTCAACAAAAAAGAAAATTCATATCATAAATGGTAGGGCGTGTTTTTAGCAATTTCAAAATCGATTATTCGAAATGCAATTTTGTTTTTTCAAAATAAAACAAAACACTAACCTTTCCATTCCGGCAGTATCCCATATTTGTGCATGATACGTTTGATTTTGTTTCGAATCATATAATGAATTTGATTCAAATTCAAATAGTGCAAAATCGATACCGATTGTTGATGGTGAACGTTCATCAAAACGATCATTCACTAAACGTTGAATAAGATTTGATTTTCCCGAACCAGATTCACCGATAACGACTATTTTAATCAAATCTTTTTCTTGACAATTATTACCATTTGTACCATATGATCGTGATGATGTTTCATTAATCTTTGTATTCGCTGATTTACGAATGATTCTATCAGGATTTTTTAATTGTGTAAAACGTTTACGAGAAACGTTTACATTATTATTATTATCATTATTCATTATTGTATCAAAAATTTAATTTGTTTAAATTAATAACCATCAATTTGATCCATGTATTAATATAGATGATGAATAATAAATTATTGAATTATGAAATCGACTAGTGATGATGATGATGATGATGATGATAATGAGAGTGAGAAAGATACAAGAATATAAAAAAAAATTCGGATGGATAGATAGATGCGTTTCGTTGTAGGAAAAAGAATAAAATGTTCACAACCTTAATATTTTCACCATCATCATCAACAAAAACATCATCTATACTTCAATGCGACAATAATCTGGATCCAATATAAATAGATAATGGCTTACAAGTAATACAATAAGAAGAAGTTAATAAAAAAACAGCAAATAAGCTGTGTCAATTTTTCTCTTTTCTTTTCTCGTTTTTATCGTTGTTGTTTAGATCATTGAAACGGTTGATTATGATAGCAATTTCTAATCGAATTGTTGTTGGTAATGGTGATGATGGTATTGGATTGGAAATGAATGTTTTAGACTTGTAGAATGTGTTTGTTATCATAATTCTTATTATTGTTGATGTGTTTTGTTGATTTGGCGACCGATGTGTGTATTGACATTATTCATTAAAAAATTTTATGGCGACATTTTATATACTGTGATGACAAGAGGACAAATCTTATAATTAAGAGAAAAAAAAACAATGGAAAATCATCATTAAATAAATTAGAAAGACATTGAAATTAAAAAAAAACACCATTAATTACCATTTATTATTTTTTTTTTTAAATATTACCGTAATTTATTGAGATATGATGATTTTTATATCATATATGAGATTTTATTTTACATTCACATTTGATTCGGCTCGTTTAGTTTCGTGATTTGTTGTTGTTCATTTTGATCGTCAACAAACGCACATAAACACACACACGCATATACATCAGCATTGCCAACAAGTCATAACAAAAACAGAAGAAAATCGTTTAAGCTTAAATCCATGGTTCTAATGCCAAAACCACAACCATCATCATCATCATTAAAATCAAAGAGGTAGTTTTTATGAATGACATTGCATCAATAACAAAAAAAAAAAAATAAATGTACTGGCGGAATGATTAAATGTGAACGATAATAATGACGATGATGATGATGATGGTGATCACCATCATCATCATCATGGTGATGGTGTTAGTGGTGGTAGTAGCAGTAAAACATTATAAATGGCTCCTGTTGATCATCATAAAAAAATAATAACTAACCAACGATTTTATTTTTCTTATTATGACTATTCATTCAAATAATAAGTGGGTTTCATTTTTTTATTCTTTGTCATTCGTTTAGATTTCTGATTCAATTCAAAAATTATTATTAAGATGTACAATACGCCCACACACACACACACACACACACACTCACAGACACTCACACACAAATCAACATTGTGTGTGTGTGCGCCTTGAAAAATATGCAGCCAAAATAATGTCCGCGGACAATTGGATAAATTAAAATTGAAATGTAACATATGGGATTTAAATGTTTGGAAAAGAAACGAAAAAAAAGAAAAATTCCAAAACAAACTCTTATTCCGATGAATGATTGTTGTTTAGTTTTTCGAAAATCATTGTTCTGAATTCATTCCCTGATTGGAATGTTTCAATTGAAAATGTGATTATTTTGTATGTTTGACGTCGTCGTTCTTAATGAGAATATCAATAATGAATGGAACAATTTCGAAATTTTCTGGATTTAATTTTCGTCTTTATTCCTGAAAACATATGTCCATTTTAATAATCTTGTTATCACTGGAATGTTTGTGAGTGTGTACGACACAAAAAAAAGCCTGCAAAAAAGAAAAACGTAAACGAAAAATGAATAGAATGGACAATGGAAAACGATATGATTGTTTTTGTTTTTTTTTTGGTTGTCAAATCGAATCGAATCGTAGACAAATCAAGAAAATCTTGCCACAATCTCGTTATCTCATAGTGATATGTTAAACATGATAAACATTGTTCGAAACCAAATGAAAATTCTTGGAATATATCATCACTATCTAAACATGAAATTATTGTTATAGGAAAAATTTTTTTGTCATTTTGTTTGCATTTATCATCATAATCATAATATATAAATAATACCATCGAACATTGGAACAATACTTACACACACACACACACACAATCGATCGATCGATTTGTTTCGATTCTTTTTGTTTGGAGAAAAGAAAAATTTAAACGAATAAAAAAAAAATACAACAAAACGTGACCAGCAAATCCAAATGAATCGTTCATTTTCATATATGGAAAATAACAACAACAAAAATCTTTCCATTTAATTTAAGTTGGGAATTTTTCATCTTTTTTTATAAAACCAAAAAAAAAATTTTGTTTGATCGAACACCAATAAAACTATGGAAATATTCGAAAATTACACAATTTTATTAGAATAACATAATATATTAGTTATTATTATTATTTTGAGAATAAAGACAAAGAAAAAACATAGATATTGTATTTGTGAGTGTGTGTGTGTGAGTGGGTGTGTCGATGTGTTCGATACCATTAGTGGCGCCATCCATAAAATCCATCACAATATATGATGATAATGATGATGATAGATTGAAAAAGGAATTTTTTTTTTTTTTTTTGAAAAATAATTTCAGCCAAAAAAAACAAAAAAAATTATAAAATATTTAATTTTTTTTCTCATAAATCAATGTTTGGTAATGGAAATTGCCATTCTTTTATCGTTGTAATCGTCATAATCATCATCGTCGTCATCATTATCGGGATCAAACATTGATTTTATTCGTTATTAGTTGAATATGATGAATGATTGAATGAATGAATGAATGAATGAATGAATGATAGTAAGAAGAATAGAGAAAGAGAGAATGATAAAATGAGAGGAAAAGGAGACCAGCAAGGAATGTTAAACATTTTGACCGCTACAACAACTATATCGAAAAAGAAAAGATGATTTTGTTATTCAATTTTATGAGAATTCACATTTTTTTTTCGTTCTGTATAATTTTTGTTTTTTCATGATGAAAATATAAATTGCAAAACAAACAAACAAAAAAAATGAGATGATAAAATTCAATATTGAAATATGTTTTTGATCGAAAATATTTTTTTTTGTTTCAAATGTTTTTTTTATAGATATCGATTGTACTATTTGATGATTGTATCGATACTTTGATCGTTGTTTTCGATTATTATTTGAGTTGTTTTGTTTAGGACAGGATATCCATTTCAAACGGAACGTTTACCCAGACCAAATGAATAACGACGTTTGATGAAATCTTCGAAATTTGTTAGTTTTTTAATTTTTTTACCATTAATTTTTTGTTTGTTATTATAATTTTCATTATAATTGGTTATCATTCGTTTACCAAGTCCAAATCCATATGGTTGTATTTTTCGTTTTTCAGCTACATTCATCAAAACATCATCACCATTATCAATTGTTTGATCATTATTATCATCATCAATAATATCATTGAACATAACCTGTTCTTTCGAACGTTTACCTAGTCCAAATGAAAATCGTTGTGGTCGTGAACGTTTAGTAGAATCAATAAATGAAACAGACATTGGTATGAATGGTTTTTGTAATGCCGGTGCAAATGCTGGTATAACACGGAATTCAAAATCATTACCATCTTGATTGGTGGCAGATGATAATGTCGATGATGATGATTCTACATCATTAGCAATATTTGCCATATTTGGGTAATAGTATGATTGTAGATCTTGGATATTTGATGATGATGTGGGATTTTCAAAAAAATTCAATGATGACGATGGAACGATTTCAATGATTTCAGCCATATCAGATCTATATGGTGTACGTTTACCAAGACCAAAATTATATTGCATTCGTTGATTGGCTCGTTTTTCAGCTAAAATTATTATTAATTATAAAACCATTAATTAAAAAAGATAAATAAAAGCGAAAGAAAATATAACAATTATTGAAGAATAAATCAAAGCCAAAAATGACAAAAAAAAGAATATTAAAAACAAAAATAATTGAAATTGATCAGAAATGAAATTTTAAAACAAACAAACAAACAAACCTAATAATGATGATGATAATGGTGATGGAATGAACGATGCCGACATTGGTGGTGGTACCAACAATGATGATGATGCGGCTGAAATTTGTGCTTGTTGCTGCTGCTGTTGTTGTTGTTGTTGTCCATTATTATTATTACGAATTGATGATGATGATGATGATGGCAATTGTTGTTGTTGTTGTTTATGTTTCAATGATGATGATGATGAGAATGGTGTTAACATATTTGCCAATGAACATCCAATGAATAATGTTACAAACAATATGGACATTGTTATCGGATGATAATGATGATGATAAGAATAATTGGATGACATTGGAATGATTGATTGATGTTTTTGTTTATTATTATTATTATTATTATTATTGTTGATACTTAATTGATACATCTTTATTTTGTATATGATGATAATTGTGATTTCAAATAAAGAATTTTTTCGATAAATTTTATTGTTAAATTAATTCTCGGTTTGTCCTTCGTTGTTGTTGTTGTTGTACGAAATTCTAAACCACGTGTTCAACATTCACTGATTCGTTGATTTTATTAATAATTTGTTCATTGATTGGAATTGTGTTCATCCACTACTGAATACAAAAAAATATAAAATAATTAAACACCTGTTACAGCATAAGCAAAAGAAAATAATTTTTTCATTGTGGAAACAATTTTATTCCCGAAATACGAAAGAGAAAAAAATTGCAAATTATTCAATTACAATAATCCATTTTTTTTCTACAAGAAAACAAATATATCATTTAACGACTACATACTAAAACGGAACATATATATTAAAAGCCCCCAAAAAAAAGAATTTCTGTCCAAAGAAATAAAAGAAAAATGAATATATAAAAATATCATAGTGATGACAACCGTTTTTTTTTGTGATAAAACCAGATGTATTTAACAAATGACGATAATCATCTATCATCATCATATATGGAATATACACAAGATAGATATATGTACAGAATTGATGGATGAATGAAAATGACTGGAAACAATTATAAACACACACAGTTGTCATCAATATCCGGTAACAAACATCATTTATGAATGCAACAAATAAACAAAAAATAACTTTTGCAATGACCAAGTTTGTAAAGTGATATCTCTATTAGTAAATTAATTAATTTTTTTTATATATTCATTTTCATTTCATAAACAATATAGACAGAATAATCCTCTTTAATAATAATATAATTGATGGGATAAATAAATAAAATTATTATATCCAACAACAAAAACCGAAATTATCATTACCGGATAACTAAAAAACGATGATCCAATGACACATGTTCATGTAAAGAATTTTGTTTGTCAATACATTATACTGTTTGATGTGTGTTTGTAATGTATGACATGAGTCAATATTATTGGATCAAAAGTGAAAAAAATAACCCAAAGATAAAAACAAAGATGTTATGTAATGAAATCTATTGGATAAACGGAACGAAAGAAAAAAACAAACAAAACGAACCTTTTCCCCACACTTTTTTTTATCTATCTATCTATCTCTCTCTCTCTCCCTCTCATTCTTACAAAACAAACCAGGCACATATCTGTTTTCTTTATCAAACCTAAATATAAAAAAAACATTCACAAACAAATGTTTAAACAGGCATCATCATCAGCAGCAGATGATTATAATCAAACAGATTGAATGATAGTCGATGAATAAAAAACAAGGGAATGATGTGTGAAAAAAAAATACATTTTGATCACAACAAATAATGCACAGAATCTTTAATAATAAATAATTGTCAATTTTTGATCCAGAATAAATGTTGTTGTTGTTGTTGTTATAGATATTTTCTTATATACGATGTTAACGCATACAAACAAACGCCATTTGGCTATTTGACAATATATATGTGGTCCCTGAAGACATTGTTTTTTTTTCATTATCATTATTATAATTATAAATGTCCCAATAAAAGAAAACCATTGAAAGGAACGGAAATATCCCGTAGGTATAAAGATTCATTGGCTTTTAGGTGGAATGAATTTTTCTTTTTTTTTTTTTGGCAGAAAAATCAATAAATCAATGATAAAATCATCATAATGATGAAGTTATACCTTCAATGATTCTTTCGTTTATTCAATTGTATTCACAGAATATTTATTCAATTAGATAGATAGATAGATAGATAGGCGGTATAGATTAATTGATTAAAAAAGACTGAATAGACAAAAAAAAATCTTATTAAAATAAAGGTTTGGTTACGTTGGGCACTGCGCCACAGTTTTTTTTTGTTGTATTGCATTCTCGTTTTACTGTGAAAAATGATAAATATGATAGACGTGTTTGTGATTGAATCAACTTACATTTTATCAAATGGAATCATCCTGTTGTATATGATTGTCTATTATGATGAATAAAAGATAGCAAAAAAAAATCTTTCCAAAAATAAAAAATGAAGAATAAATAATCGAAAAATGTGATAAATACACTCACACCTAATGTAATCCAAGCAAAAACCAAACAAATGAGAAACCAGATAACTGAATTCAACAACAACTGCAACGGACGAAAAATTTTTTCATTCTTCACAAGTTTGAAATTCTTTTGCTTATCATACAGACTGATTGATAAAGAATACAGGAATCTGAATTTTTTTTCCAACAAAATTATGAAAAAATAATAAAACACATTTGTTTTATCTGCAAAGATTCACAATTCTCTTGTTCATGTTCATATCATTAGTGTCAAATTATGATGATGATAAAAAGCTTTATGACCAAAAAAAAAAAAAAAAATGAAATAAAAATTAAAAAATTTTTTCTTCATTCAACAAGAACAAAAAGAACATGAAGTTTTTGGTCTGTTTGAAAAATATTAGATTTCCAACCAAGATTTTCTTGCCGTCATTGAATGGAAACCCAGAATTCAATTCATTTCACTTCAAATTGAAATCGAAATTCATTCCATATAAAAATGAATTTATCGATCGCTTACACATATATTACATATTCGTTGTTTTTGTCATGATTATATGAGTATGATGGCTTGAAATTCTTGTGAAACAAAACAAAAAACTCAAGAATTTTTTGTTGCTGTAAATAATAATGCCAATAATCAACCAATCAATTCAATGCTTGGATATTTTTTTTTTTGGATCAATTTCAAGAATCATATTACCAATCAACCAACCAACTATTGAAGAATATCGAAGCAACCAAGCCAACCAAAAGAAAAAGAATCATTTATAATATAAACAAATATGGGCGCACCAGTACACAGACAACAAACGATAAATGGAAAAAAATATGAAATTTTTTTTTTGCTTTTTTCTCGAGAAAAAAAATGAGTTATTATCATTTTGATGACGATCATCGTATTCACAATGGTGGTTTCTCCTTTTACATTTCATTAATGAATGAATGAATAATAAACACGTATATAATAATTCAAATTTGAAAATATCTAAACCAAAGAATAATAAGAACGAGAAAAAATAAAACCAGAATTGAAAGAATCATTATTGAATTGAATAAATATTGAACAACAACAACAACTGGTTATAAACAACATGTAAGATGAATCTTGAATGTTGTCTCTTGGTGTGTGTGTGTGTGTGTGTGTTTCACTCGAAATCGATATTTTTTTTTTTTTTTGAAAATGTCTAATGTCTGCAAGAAATAAATGTGAGAGTTCTGTCTTTTGTCATCGTTTTTTTTGTCATATTTTTTTCCTGTTTGTTTGTATGTTACGAATGAAAGCTAATAAATATTGTGTAATGAAAGAAGAAATAAAAAAAAAGTTAATTGAAAATTATTGATGATGAACAAGATGATGAACTACTTCTTGGAACATTTTCCTGTTTTATTTGGTCGATTTTTTTTTTTTTTTTTCTCTCACATATAATAACAAACACCAAATACGAATAGATCATAATTTTTATATTTTAAATGATAATGTCATCTTTTGAACTTTCTTTCTCTGTACGTCGTCTACTAGGTTTTAATGTGAAAAATTGATTAACAATTTCATAATATTATTTTTTAGGGTGTAGCTGAACTTTTTGTTAGTTTTTTTTCCTACTGAAAATTGAGTATTACAGTGTTGCATTGGAGATTAGAATTTAAAGTTTGGTTTATTTTTTTTTTTTAATTATTATTTGTTTTTCTTAGATAAACCAAAAAAACCAAGAAATGAGGTTACGATTCATTTTGGATTTACAATTGGATTAATGTGACTACCTCCATTCATTTCATTTCATTTTATTTCATTCATCAAAGTTTCTTTGTTACGGTTGCCTTCCGGTCTATTCACACTTTTGTCAAATTTTATTAATCCTCTTATTCTTTTTTTATGCATTCATTTTTAATTTTTTTTTCTAACTTCTATTCATATCGATGGGCGTTGTTTTTTTTTCTTTAAAAAAAATCAGCGTTCGATTACCACATACAGAGTTTGGGGAATACACATAGCTTGGTGGGTGTAGGAAAATTCTTAGTTTTCTTTTGTTTGAATTTTGGTAATTTTTTCATTTCGCCTTTGTGTAAATTTCGTTTAACTGTATTTAGGGCTACCATATTTTTCCAAACAAAAGTCCGGACAATCCATTGATCAGTGTTTCTCAACCATAGGGTCACCATAGACAATCAATACAAGATGATTACAGAAAATCCGGACATGTCCGGGCTAAATCCGGACGTATGGTAACCCTAACTGTATTGTTAATCTGGTATATTATTTAGTTTTTTATTTTACCACCAAATTAAAAAAAAACGATAAGAAAAATGTCTGAATAAAACAAAAAATAAACAATGAACCTAGTGGGTGTTCATGGACCAAACAAAAAAACTAAAGGAAAGAGGGAGGAAAATGAAAATTTTATAATAAGAATAAATAGAAAAAAAAATCACAGGTCATTCACAGAAGATTATTTCAAAGGAAAAAAAATCTATCTTTTCAATCGATATAAAATATTTGTCTACACAAACACAAATGCACACATATTATCAGAATCTATATATCTAATTTGAAAATATTCGGCGAAAACGAAAAAAAAACAATTAATATTATGTAATAGTTCCCGAGCG